CTTAGCATTCAATTGACTGCCAACTGACCAAGCCTACCTCCCCTTTAAGAATTGGCTATCTCTAAGTTTGTTTTGATGGAGCAATGCAGACTACAGGAATGGCATGACAGGAAATGGCCTTTAGGCTGATGGATTCATCGGCTGTTTATGTGGTAATAAATGTGTTTGGGAAAGTGGAAATAGCGGTTATTTTTGACCATGTTGTTGATATCAACACACCTACATGACATTACCTTCAGCTTTTAGCCTGACTTGGGTAGCGAGAAGGAAAGTACATTCATCCTGTTTGTGGGCATGTTGCCATGGGTAGGTGAAGAAATGTGAAGACATTATCTCAGAATCATTCTTGCAAGAAAAAGTGAGTCTTTGTTTTGGTTGAACTAACTCTATGATATGAATGGTTTCTTGATGAAATCTTCAAACTATTTGTCAGGAGTGACAACTATCAACAATCAGCCTGTTGCTATGACATTCACATCTGGTGAAAGTGACAGTTCTACACCAGTTGCTGATCAGTGCTTGCCATTCCAAAAGTTGTCTGTTTTGGGGAATAGACTAGTCAGGAAGTAATTCACATCAGTTGAAAGTTCATGAACACATTTGTGTTGAACCTGCTGAACAGTTTGTTGGAAACAAAATAAAAAAGTAAGAAACAAATTTCTCCTGCTTCACATCTTTGGAAAAACTGACAATGATGGAAGAAAATTTATGTTTAATTTATTGGATCCTAAACATGTGAAATTAATACATATAGTTTTCATTTTTCGTGGTCAGAGCTGGGCACCGGTGTCCCAATTGTCTTAAGCACTGCAATTTGCTTGAAGAGTTGTGTCCCTTGTGTACACCAGAAACATGATTTTGGGTTTGAATCCCATTTTGGCTCGATTATGTTTCTCGGTTTGTCAGCACCATAACCATGCTCGTGGGTTTCACCAAAGTGGTTACATGTCTGAGACCTGCATTACTTTGGGCTTTCCTCCCACATTAAGCTGACATGCCTTGATATAACTGGAATACTGTTTTAAGTGGCGTTAAACTCAACTCACTCACTCATTCATCATGCTCATGGTCAAAGGGTCTTGTTGAATAGTTATGCCTGTTTCCTATCAAATAATAGTGTTCACCTAGCATGCCTAAGATGAAGTATTGTTGGTTTGTTGGTTTGTTTGTTGTTTAACACCGCACTCAGCAATATTCCAGCTATATTCCAGACGGCGGTCTGCAAATAATTGAATCTGGACCAGACAATCCAGTAATTGACATGAGCATCGATCCACACAATTGGGATACAATGACATGCATCATCAATCAAGTCAGCGAGCCTGACCACCCGAACCTGTTAGTTGCTTCTTATGACAAGCATAGTCACCTTTATGGCAAGCATGGATTGCTGAAGACCTATGCTACCCCTCATATAGTTAGTTGGTACATGGTTTCAGGGCGTCACTGGGGTTCCAGTTTGTTTGTCAGATCCAGCTTCAGTGGAATAAGTATAAATGCTATCTTCCTTCCCACTAGTGCTGGGCGGGGTGGTCGGGTAGCCTAGTGGTTAAAGCGTTCGCTTCGGTTCGATTCCCGACATGGGTGCAAAGTGTGAAGCCCATTTCTGGTGTCCCCCATCGTAATATTGCTGGAATATTGCTAAAAGCGGCGTAAAACCATACTCACTCACTCACTCACTCACTAGTGCTGGGTAGCCATTCAGCTAAGATCAACTAGCAACAGTTGCAGATCTTATTCACAAAACGGATCTCACATTATATCATTGCTGCAATATTACCCAAAGCAGGTTGAAATGCTGTTCACTCACTCACTCACTTCATAAGGTTGTGTCATAGAGCCCCCATTAAATTTATTGTTCTCCAACTACCTATGCTTGTACTAGGTGACTTCCCTGATCGGTAGTTCTGTCTCAGTTAACTGGTTGATTGCACGTCATTGTTCCCTGACAGCGGGGGATGGCGCTCATGATGTCAGTCACTGGTTTGTCTGATCCAGACTCGGTCAGTTACAGACTGCTGTTGTATAGCTGGAATATTGCTGAAAAAACAAAACTAACAGTAGTGCAGCTTCAGTCCAGTAGTCTGTACAGGATTTAAAGGGCAAGTGCAATGTAGAAGACTAGCTCTGTTAGTTCAGCCTCATAGAAAACTAGATGTTTAACGATGACAGTAATGAAGATTATGTGTTTCGATTATTAAATTTGTTGTTTATGATTCACAACTTACTATACATCAGATACCTGTAGGAATATATAGGATATATTTTCCCCAACATTGAATGATAGGATAAGAGCTAGTTCATGTTCATTATGGCTAGTTAGTGTTCCTGAATATTAGCCAACATGACAAGTTCAGTTCTTCAAGTTAATTTCACCAGTGCAGTAACCCAGAAGTTAAATCCTCCACTAGATTTACAATGGGTAGACACCATGGGTAAAGTTGAACAGGTTGACAGGTCATTTCTAACGTTTATGTTTATGTAACATGACTTGATTCTAAGAAAACAAAACACTTAGCATTCCAGATCACAAGCCTTGCAGCTGAACCATGCATGCAGCAGATATATAAGTACAAATCCCGACAAAGGTGCCGTGCATGAAACCCATTGTGTCCCCATCGATTTTGCAGACATATTACTCATGATAGAAAAAACAAACACATTTGTCTCAGAAATATAGAAAAATCATGTGTAACAAATATTTCTTTTCCTTTTTCTTGATTCATACGCCACCATGCCGTTAAGATAATGGAGTAAACTGCAAGTTGCTATGGTAAATAGCACATGTGACATTATTGTGCATTCATGTGTTGCCGGTAATGGTCCTCCCATGTGCTCCAAACATGCGTAGTGTGTGTGCTGCCATGTGACCACACCAGGATATAACTGCCAGGTATGGTGTACTCAACATTCACCCTTCTCCTTCTCACGACAGATCCTCATGAGCTGTTTCTTCTTATGTTCACACATGAGTACAAAGTGCCTGACGTCATGGAAATTTAACCACAGTAATCTGTTGCTCCTTGCTATCAGCATGAAGGTTTCATCTTCAGATGTGGGGATTTCTTGCAGTTGCTGAACATGGAGAAGGTTTTGATGGTTTGAAAAATGATCTCATTAACCATTTTAACTTACCGGAGAGGGGTAAGCATATGGTAAACAATGTCAAAGTTCATGGTGTCAATTCGGATGTAACTAACATCCGACTGCATTATATTTATTCAGTGGGCAGTTGCCTTTATTCATACAGTGGCACAATGTACACATGACAACAATGTTTTGTCCAAGGTCTCAGCTCACAAGTTCTCAGCTGACTGTATCTGAAACGTGTTGAAAACATATTTGACTGCGCATAATACTTGAAAAAACTTTTTTCCAAAATACTGCATCTTCCAGAGGGGTGTGTGCATTATACTCGTGTGCGCACTATACTCAAGAAAATACGGTAGTGTTTGATGTGAGTTAGTGCATCTTTTACATTTATGGCCATCCTTATAAATATTATATCATTTTGTTTGCAAATCTGGTTCACACATATCAATGAGAAATGTGATCATGGTATATGTGCTTCCTGCACATTAATTACAATGAATTTGTTAGATGAAATATGTAAGCTTATGTTCCGTATTACGGTTGTACAACCCTAACATAATGTACGGTCAACATGATAGTGTTGATGAGACAAATGCCATTGGATGTTTCCATGATCTGTTCAATATTTGATAGATCGATATTTTTGTACCAAGTTAATAAACTTCCTTTCCTCCTTGGAAGACAACCTGTAACTACACTAAGATATGGACTGATATGAAAGGTTTGTTTGTTGATGTACGCCACAGTCAGCAGTATTCAAGCAATATAGCAAATCTAGTCCAGACAAGCCAGTGGTTGATATTGTGAGCAATGTCCCACAATGTCAGGATACGATGACACCTAAACAATCTCATCAAAATCAGATCTTAGTTCTCGCTACCGCTAAACAAAGATCTGAGGACATCCCATTACGGGTCACGTCAGCAAGACCTTTCATCCAACCAATCAGAGCGTCGCTTACCAGATCCTGAAAGTGACAGTCGAAATGTGTTTTCTAATCATGCAACCACAAAATATTAAACAGAGGGTATTCCGAATGACAATTACGGTTTTTATGATTATATCCATTCAATTTAGGCCATCTATAAGTCATTCCAGAATGTTGTTTTGATCAGTTTTAAATTTTTTTAATCAAGAATGCATCAAAATATGTTTCGAAGCGTAGTCGACAGTTTGAAACTAGTGCCGTAAAGCTCGAGATAGCTGCCTTCTGATTGGCAAATGTTGATTTCTTGTCAGTCATTTCATTGGTCAGTCAATGTTCGCGAAAGGTCGTTCCGACGTGACCCATAATGGGATGTCCTCAGGTCTTTGGTTAGCGGTAGCGAAAACTAAGATCTGATTTTAATGAGATTGACACTTAAACAACCAAGTCACCAAGTCTGATCACCCAATCCAGTTTAGTCACCTCTTACACCAAGCACCAGATGTGATAGAGTGCAAGGGTTCATGTCTAACCTGGGTCCCTCCAGTCAAAAATGTATTGTGGTACCCAAAAAAATACAAGGGAATTTTTTTTGTCAGTATTATGACTGATGTAATCATTGTTATGAACAATAATCTTTAGTGCATGGTATGGTTAGGGATTAGAATTGATTTTGTTTGAGTGATGATATTATTATGTCCACAGTTGCTGTGCAAGAGGTATTGAGTTTAACAAAAGAATGATAAAAAAAATAAGAATACTTCACTCTCGTTAGAGATGTTCAAGAATATTCTGATCCTTCTCTCAGCTGTTTTTAAGACGGAAGTGGTTCTGCTGAGATAGATGCAGCTGACAAGGGAAGCATCACAGCCTTTGCAGAGACACAGTTGTGTGAAACCTCTCAATGTTGTGACAATTTGCTCCTGCAGAGACAGGAATATTCCAACATTTATTTCATGCGTGTGTGTATTGTGTGTTGCAGCAGGTGGGAGCTGGGAGAGGTACAAGATGTACTGGTCTTCCCTAGTGTGACACACCTCCACTACTGGCCTCCTGAATCACGCTCCACTTGACTCCACAACAGTATTATGTGAGTATTCATACTTGATTTAATCTCTAACAGTATTATGTGAGTCCAGCTTCCACCCTTGCCAAACTAGGTTGGAATTTTCAGGCACGATTGTAGCACCAAGAAATCACAAAGTGCATCAAATCACTTGAGCACCTTAAAAGCATGAAAAGATTTGCAAAATATATGTTGACGCCCAGTTGGAGGTACCCATGCTTTGCAAATCCTGCAGTCGACCAATATCTGCACGTTGAAATCCATGGTGTTTACGAACCGTATGTCTAGTTCGTCACACGTTTTTGTTTGGACTATGCATGGAGTCATAGGTACAGCCACTCCTGAATTCCAGCCTTGTTCGGCAAGGGTGGAGACTGGGCTTTTATAGTCAGTTAACACCCTTGGCTCAGGAAGATGTACTTGGTTTAATCCACAACAGTATTATGTAGGTATCAGTACTTCATTTAATCTACAATAGTTTTATGTAAGTGTCAGTACTTGATTTAATCTACAACAAAATTATGTTAGTATCAGTACTTGATTTATTCTACAGCAGTATTATCATAATTATGTAAGTATCAGTATTTTAGTTAATCTACAACAGAATTATGTTAGTATCAGTACTTGATTTATTCTACAGCAGTATTATCATAATTATGTAAGTATCAGTATTTGATTTAATCTACAACAGAATTATGTTAGTATCAGTACTTGATAGTTTTACAACAGTTTTATGAGAGTATCAGTGCTTGATTTAATCTACAACAGAGTTATGTTAGTGTCATAGCTTGATTTAATCTCTAACAGTATTATGTAAGTATCAGTACTTGATTTAATCCACAACTGTATTATGGGTCAGTACTTGATTTAATCCACAACAGAATTATAGGTCAGTACTTGGTTTAATCCACAAAAGAATTATGTGATTATCAAGTATCAGTACTTGGTTTAATCCACAACAGAATTATGGGTCAGCACCTGGTTTAATCCACAAAAGAATTATGTGATTATCAAGTATCAGTACTTGGTTTAATCCACAACAGAATTATGGGTCAGCACCTGGTTTAATCCATAACAGAATTATAGGTGAGTACTTGGTTTAATCCATAACAGAATTATGGGTCAGTACTTGGTTTAATCCACAACAGAATTATGGGTCAGTACCTGGTTTAATCCATAACAGAATTATAGGTCAGTACTTGGTTTAATCCATAACAGAATTATGGGTCAGTACTTGGTTTAATCCACAACAGAATTATGGGTCAGTACCTGGTTTAATCCACAACAGAATTATGGGTCAGTACTTGGTTTAATCCACAACAGAATTATGGGTCAGTACTTGGTTTAATCCACAACAGAATTATGGGTCAGTACCTGGTTTAATCTATAACAGAATTATGGGTCAGTACCTGGTTTAATCCACAACAGAATTATAGGTCAGTACTTGGTTTAATCCACAACAGAATTATGGGTCAGTACCTGGTTTAATCCACAACAGAATTATAGGTCAGTACTTGGCTTAATCTATTTAATCTACAACAGTATCATGGGTCAGTACTTGGTTTAATCCACAACAGAATTATAGGTCAGTACTTGGTTTAATCCATAACAGAATTATGGGTCAGTACCTGAATTAATCCACAACAGAATTATGTGATTATCAAGTATCAGTACTTGGTTTAATCCACAACAGAATTATTGGTCAGTACCTGGTTTAATCCACAACAGAATTATGGGTCAGTACCTGGTTTAATCCACAACAGAATTATGGGTCAGTACCTGGTTTAATCCACAACAGAATTATGGGTCAGTACCTGGTTTAATCCACAACAGAATTATGTGAGTATCAGTCTTTGTCTTTGATCTAATCTGCAACAGTATTTGTATGTTATTGTTCTGTATGACAGCATGATGTACATACCAGTACGTGATCATACCCTCCAACATTATTAAGAGGCATTGTTGAGGTTTTCTATTTTTTGCTGTTGTGATTGTATTGTAATAGTCATTAGCCATGTAAGGCTTGATAATTTAAAGGAATCAATACAGTACAAATGAATAAAGTATTGCTAACCTGTCTCAGTTCCCTCTGTTGCTAATCACCCCAAAGGGAAGTAACTCTAATCCTTGCTAATCAACACACATGCAGGATAAAATTCACATAATTGATGTTATATTTATAACAAAATGCAACTATTGAAACTATCTATTGTTATGTATACTATTGACAATAGTATTTTTATATTCCTATTAATATAGTACTGTCATAGGGCAAACAATTTCAATAGTTCAATAGTTCAATAGTTCAGTGTATTGTTACACCCCAAGTTTTGTTATAACCTGTAACAGGATGTTCACAGTTCTTTGTGCAGCGATAGTGACAACTATGATCTCATTTTAATGAGATTGGTCTGTGTTACTGTGAGGTGACCAGGTGCAAGTTTAGGATAAATGATGAATCATCACTTTCATAATGTCCCAGATCACAAGGGTAGGTAGCAATGATTTGTTTGTTGTTTGGTTGTTGTTTAACCCCGCACTCAGCAATATTCCAGCTATATGACGGCAGTCTGTAAATGATCGACCAGACAATCTAGTGATTTATATCATGATATCAATATGTAAGTTCACTTGCATAAAATAGGAGTGAGTTGGGTTGGGCCACTTTTGACAGTATTCCAGTTATATCACGGCGTGTCAGCTTAATGTTGGAGGAAAGCCCGAAGTGATGCGGGTCTCAGGTGTTTACCACTTCGGTGAAACCCACGAGCATGGGTATGGTGCTGACAAACCTATAAACATAATCGGGGCAAAGCTTGTTATAAGGTGTTCAGGCTAAGGAAAGGATACTGTCCCCTTATGCAGTGTATTCATTTTTTTTCAAGTAGCTTGTAAGGTGTGAAATGTAAGTATTTTAAATCTTGTTAATCGGTAATCGGGGCGAACACATAACATATAAAGACCCCAGGACCACACCACAGTGTTCACGGTAGGTTTTTGTACAGTGCGTGCAGAAATGAAATAATAAATTTTCAATTCGAATATTTCGCGTGTGAAGTTTTTATTTCAATAAAATCAGTATTAGTACAGCTAATAATTATGACCAAGCTTTAACCTATGGTCCAGTTTTGATATAATGAATGTTCCATCATTAATAAAATAAATATGACCGTTGTTAGCACATGCCCATGTGTGGAAGTTTTCTTCCGTCGCTCTGTTTCTGATTGTTCGTATTACCGACTATTACTTGTAATCTGGGCTCTGATTGGATGAAACGAACAACTTCCGGGGAATTCCTTGATAGTAACGAATGACGTCCTGTGTCTGAGATTAGTTATTCCGTTGCCCAAAGACCATATATGGAAATATAAAGGACGCGATTCAAAGCCCAATCTAGCCACACTCTATTTTTAGCAATGGGAATGTCCAGGTTTTGATTTATTTTCATCTGAACATCGTAAGCAGGCTATCAGCTTTGACTAGGTTTTTTATTTTATGGTGTTAATACTAAATTAAGTATATCACAATCTGTGCATGCAATACACGCATGCAAAATATTTTTTGCGTGTTTATATGATTTTAATGTGTGAAGAACGCAGGTTTCTGTGTTAACGCAAACACTACACCATCTCCTTAAATAACATGCACACCTGTTGATTTAGTATGTTACTTAATCTAGTTTATACATTTCAAAACAGCCTAAGTATCAGTGAGGTGAATACAAGCAAGACAAATTATTGAGGACTATTCCTTTAACCATGTTAACAGTTTATCATCTTTAAGGATTAATCTTTCAGAACATTGCTCAGACTCTAAGTGTGTTTATGATCTTCAGAAGCAAAGATCATGATGGCAGTTTGAAGCTTACTCATAAATTACCATGTTTTCACCCTACTTTTGCCCAGATTTTATTGATTGGCACATTGATCAGCTTTGTACTCTGCTTCCAACGATGAAGTTCAAGAAAGTCATTTTCCAAATATAAACAAGATAATGTTATATAGGTGAAGGCCTCACAAGTTCACATGGTATGGTCATGATAGTAACCTGATTTAGTAAGCCTTATCAAGAAATGCAGGGTGATATTGTCATCATCTGGTCTGTCTGTCCATATGTCTGTCCATATTTCGTGTCCAGAGCACAACTTGATTAATGATAGCCGTAAAGTTTTGGTTTTTTTTATGCAAAGTGGTACATGTATTATTTAGGGACTGAAATGGTGCCTTTTGCTATTTAGGAATTTAATTTTTTTTATTTTGTTCCCTCTTTCCATGGAAACAGGTTAGGCTTATCTGAAACCAAGGTGGGTGTCATTTCTGGAGCACAACTCAGCGACAATTCAAGTCTTTTTACATGTGTTAATCAGGGGCTGAAGTGGTGCCTTTTGCTATTTTTAGAATTTTTTATTTTGTCCGTTTGACTTTGATTCTGTTCACAGTGGTGTGTTTGTCCGGGCTATATCTCTGAAACTGATGGGTATTCTTTCTTTACACACACAGAGAAATTTGTGCATAGAAATACAAAGTTCTGAATCCCAATTCCATAGTGTTGTTTTGAAAGCTCAAGGGGGGAGGGGGGGTCGGGTAGCGTAGTGGTTAAAGCGTTCGCTTGTCACGCCGAAGACCTGGGTTCGATTCCCAACATGGTTACATGGGTACAATGTGTGAAGCCCATTTCTGGTGTCCCCTGCTGTGATATTGCTGGAATATTGCTAAAAGCGACGTAAAACATACTCACTCTCACTCAGTCACTTGTATACAGACAGACAGATTAGATAGAAATTCTCTCATCAAGTTGGACCTTGTACTGTAAGATGATTTGTTCTTTCGAATTTGTGAGGGCCAGGGGGATTTGTCATCTTCTGATGCCTCTTGCTTACTTGTGCCACTGGGCTTTCATAAAAGTTATGGGTATGCCCTTTGGAAATTATACATTTCAACAATGATAGATTTGATCCGTTTGTGAAATTATATATGTACTATATTAAAAACATTTAGAACCACACAAATCAGTCATATTACCTTAGTTAGTCTGACAGGGTAAGACAGGGGCCATTAGTGACCCAGTTGTCAAAGGCGCCACAATTTGCTGTGCATAGTTGTGTCCCTTGGGCACGCCACAAACCTATGATTCTATGTTCGAATCCGGGTTCACGCCAATTATGTTTATAGGTTTGTCAGCACCATACCCATGCTCATGGGTTTCACCAAAGTGGTAAACGTATAAGACCTGCACCGCTTTGGGCTTTCCTCCCACATCAAGCTTACACACTGTGATATAACTGGAATACTGGAATCACTCACTCGGGGTACGAAAATAGTTCCCCAACAACCTATGCTTGTTGTTAAAGGTGGAAGCACGGGTGGCCCAGTCGTCTAAGGCGCCCCGATTCGCTGTGCAGAGTTGCATCCCTTGGGCACGCCAGAAACCTATGATTGTGGGTTCGAATCCCGGTTCGCCCCGATTATGTTTCTAGGTTTGTGAGCACCATACCCGTGCTCGTGGGTTTCACCGAAGTGGTAAACGTCATGAGACCTGCATCACTTCGGGCTTTCCTCCCACAATAAGCTGACACGCCGCGATATAACTGTAATACTGTTAAAAGCGGCGTTAAACCCAACTCACTCACTGTTGTTGGAGGTGACCACATGGTTCTTATGGTCAGACTCGGTCACTTGGTTGATTATGGGTCATAATATCCCAATTGTATTGATCAATGTTCATGATGTCAGTTACTGGTTTATCTGGTTTAAACTTGATTACCCTGGTATATACAGACTGACGTCATATCTGGAATATTGCTAAGTGAGATGTGAACCACAAACAATCAATGTCACAAGCAGACAATTATTGTGTTGCCATGGTTACATGGAGTCAGTATGATTAACACTGTCAATGCAGTAAAGAGCATTTGACCATCCATCTTTGAAGAACATTTTCTAAAGGCAGGCAGTAGCAGATTTTTCAGGTATTCAAAATGTTTTAAGTTTCTATGAAGTACATATTAGCATTAGAAATTGGCACTAGTCCTGTAGTCCTTACCAAACTGCTCAATAGTAAAGGTATCCTAAGGACTGGTAGAAATTGGCCCATTTTAAGGGTTTTGCTATATGTTATCATTATAAGGACTAGTGGACAAAAATTGTTAGTTTCTAACCCTGCAAATATTAAAATGTCTTCTGTATTCTGCAATTGACATGTCATCTGATGTAAGCCAAACTTTCCCCAGCAACTAGACGTATTGTTTAAAAACGGTTAGAGGAGGTTTTCCATGTTTACAAGGGAGTTATTTATCATGATTAACTTGTGCAGTGCAGTGGAGTGGATATTTGAAATGACCACCATGGCAGCACAAGAAATAGTCAAGGTAAAACCATAGGAGTAATCAGGTAATGACAGTCCTGCACCATGACTGTCGAATATATTTATTTTATGACAAAAAATTAATTTAGAAACGCATACAAAAGCAAGTCTAGCCAACTCTAGCTAGCTCTATTCCACATATGAAATCAGTATAGTCAAGAAGGATATTGTGTAATATTAGATTTCAGAGACTAAATGTTAGTCTAGAGTAATGACTGAACCATATGTAAAATATGCTTCATATGATAAATCAAGATGATAAATCAATGTAATATTATTTTTGTTTGTGGAAATGGACATTAACCAAGAAAGTCTTCTAGCCCAGTGAAAGAAACTGTTTTAGTCCACTAGTCCTTATAATGATAACATATAGCAAAACCCTTAATCATGTTAATAATGGCAAACTTCTACTAGTCTTCATGATACCTTAACTATTGGGCAGTTTGGCAAGGACTATAGGACTAGTGGCCATTTCTAATGCTGCTTATTAGACATTCTACTATCCCTCATGAAACCTTTAACATTAACAAAACTGGTCTGGGCTAGCAGGATAGTGGAAGTATCCATCTTAGTGTATGTTTGACTGCCTCTGTGGTCAAGTGGTACAGCGTCTGCCCGGAGAGCGGATGGTCCGATGTTCCATCCCCGGCCAAAAGACGTTAAAAGATGGTACTTGTTGTTACCCTGATTGATGCTCGGCATTAAGGAGCTAAAACAAGGACTGCTCAGCTCAGAGTCCGTATACTCTGTCTGAGCGGGTATTCACGTTAAACTGCGGCATGGTATCTCACGTCACAGTACAAGTGCAATAATCTTGGACATGATGTTTTAAAACCCGTTTCACCTCACCCTGTTTGTGTTTATTGATACAAGTTTATTTGTTCTGGCACCTTAGCTTACAAAATGAGCTTTAAATTATTCAATTACTTGAGCAAGGTCTTCCAGTTTGGCCTCAGGTCACATGACAGTACAAGCAAGTTTAGTCAGGGCCCATCAAATAACATTTCACTTGCTAAAAGTTTTATTTACAGTAAACTACGGTTATAACAAACTCAAAGGGACTACTAATTTTAGCTTGTTATAACCGAATTTCGTTATAAGCATATATACAGCATAACTACAGCAAATAGTCAGGACCAAAAAAGTAAGTTTGTTATAACCGTCAGTTCAGAATAAGCGTGTTCATTATAACTGTAGTTTACTGTAGTTCAGTATGGCATTAGAAGATTACCTCACTACATAATAAAAACAATGTTTCAGTTTCACACAAGGCTCTTTTGTGTCTACATCAATGATGGGCTCTTGTATTGATGCTGCTCCCTTTAATAGAAGTTGAAAGTTAGGACCAGTTCACAACACATGGTTTATGTTATATTACAGACAAGAAGTCCTTTTACAATTTTACTAGTACAGGGAGTAGTGAGTGTTATTCGTTCAAGGTGAAGCTTCAGGAAGATTCATTAACACTCTCTCTGCAAGCTAGTGCAGGTTGAATAACAGAAAATGTGTCCCTTGAACAGTGTTAATTGAGTGAGCATGTGCAGTATACTACCTACAGTGTTGACATTGTAGGTGCAGTGATTGACATACCTGTGCCATACTCTGTTCTAACATACCTGTCTCTTGCAGGGCAATGAATGCTGAAGTGAGTGCATTATCTATCATCAAGGAGGGCTATCTATGGAAACGAGGTGAGTCAATTTAAAGGTTCATGATTCTCTGCTTTGATGAGTTTTTCATGGAATGCTATTAGATTGTGTTTCTTTTGTGACACATTCCATTACAATATATGCCTAAATCGTATACAGTCAAAAAGTGTTGTGTAGAAGGGACCTTCGGATATACTTCTAGTTATCCAAGGTTCAACACAACCAGAAAAAGATGAATAATGAAGGAATATGCAGGGACCATGTTTTTACTTTGAGACAACTGTAAGTTTGACATATCAAGGTTTGACACAACAGTGTTTGACTTTAGTCCCCCAAAACACCAGCTAACTTTCAGAGTTTTTATGAAAAAAGACCATTCTCATCCCTATTTCTGAATTTGTTTTGCACCCATCAGCCAGACTATGCTTTTTCAGAAAACCACTTACCCTTTTAGTGTATGGAAACATATTAGGACTGGTTGGATTTTTTCTTGAACTTCCAACTCTACTAGTGAATGTTTTTGTAGTACACTTTGACCCTTCCCTGTTTTCTTTGAGGCATTTTTCTTAATTATTTGGATACCAGATGCTTCCGAAACCAAGTGTCAAGAAGGCAATGATACTTTTAGGGATGAGATAACTCTCTTTTTCTAGATTGAATTGTTATTAGATGACATAGTTGGTTAAAATAGAATTTTCTCATTTTTCAGGTGAACATATCAGAAACTGGCGGAAACGCTATTTTATCCTTCGACAAGATGGGTCCTTCCTTGGGTTCCGATCCAAACCTGAGAATGGTGACCTAAGCGATCCTCTCAATGACTTCACTGTCAAAGGTATGAATCTTATAGTCACAAGTGTTGCATTTTTTAGGTGTGTGAAGTCACGTAACTTCATTCCCATTTCACACACTGCCTCCATGGTCTAGTGGTAGAGAGTCTGCCAGGAGAGAGTGAAAGGTCCAGGGTTCGATCCCCGACTGTGTCATACCAAAAGATGTTAAAAGATGGTACTTGTAGTTACCCTGCCTGGCATCCTCGAAAACTTGATAAACAAATTATGAGATTAAAATCTTTTGAACACATGATGTAGTTCATGGTTTGGGGAAGTAGAAATGTTTGGCACAGATTCCGCAAAAACTGATTATCAGTTGTAATGTTGATGACGGACAAAAGTTGTTTGATTAAGGTTACAACAATTAGGCGACAATTTTTTTATTTCTTGGTTTACGGATGCGCCGCTCTTTCAAAGTCCAAATGTTAAAAAAAAATAAAAATGAAAATTACCCTTTTTTTTATTACCGCCGATCTTTTCGACAAAAAGTTCAAACAAAAAAAAGATTTCATTCACTCTTCAAGCGTACAGCAAAGGGAAGTCACTCTGATATTTCTTGCTGGGATCCTTCTCTAATACCATCAAAGCTTGTCAACGCAAAGTGCAGTTGTGACCAGTTTAACTAATTCAACACTGTTGGCCGTTCAAAGCCACAAGTCACACCGCACGGTAGACCGTCCAAGCCACGTCAAAATAGTTTATAATTATATTAACCTACCTGTCATATCATTCATTTATTAAATCTATCACATTTCACAATGTCTGAAATACGTATTCCATTTGATTTTATCATTTTTTTATCTATAGATTAAAAATATATTCACTTGACACTATTTCCCGCAATGTTATTGAAAATAAAATTCTCGGACACACTTCGACAACGGGTCCTCATCGAACATGTCAAATAGCAAAATAAAGACGTTTCACGCGCTGAAACGTCTTTATTTACAAAGTAATAAAATCATCAAAAATATATCTATAAAAGTTGCCAAACTGACATCTTAGTTATTATTTCCAACTTTTCATGCGATCGCATATCGTAAGTCAAATGACATCTCGGCTTTCGTCGCCTCGATTTCTCGGCTCGGACACGATGTCTTAATGCCAAAATATATGCATAAGAAATCTTTGTCACAGCTCGAAACCTAGCTCTATGCATCCATAAAGTTCCATATTTTTAATATAGATCGCGATTTCATGCTAAAACGTTCAGAATAACATGATTTAACCCAAACCTTTCGCCAAAATCTGAAAATTATCGTTTCTGTAATTTGATTAGCTGCCTTAGGTCACGTGCTTAAATTTGACCAATCACGGACCTTGTAGCAGATTTTGTCGGTGAAACAGTATAAGTTTTTTTAATGTATACTGACATGGCAGGACGTATGTGTTATTCATACGAAGCTTTGAAAACCGAGGTATTTCCTCATGTTAGTGAGCGGACAGCCACTTTCATCGGGAAATGGGTGATGACAGATATTATTTGTAATTCTTTTTAAAATAATGTTCCAACAACGTAAACAAATGAAAATTAAAAAGAAATAGGTAAGTGGATTTTATGAATTCTTATATTTGCCGAAAAAATTGTTAGATTTGCGCTTAATTTGGACGTTATGAATGTTTTAGCTTACATTATTATTTATTTAAAACGAACTTTATTTAGTTGTTCATGAATTATTTAAATAATGAAATACACATAACTTTCATATTTATAAACAATAGGATTAATTAGACCTTTCAAATAGTGTATGGCCAAACATGTAGTAGCAAAGATGTTAATTTCAGCAGATAATTCCTTGATAAATGTTGGTTTCATCTATCACACAACAGTCTCTGGGAACTTGGTGTCACAGCAGTAATCTTCTGGTTTGCTGGTGTTGAAAGAGTTAAACGTTGCCCATGCTGCCAAAATAGCAGCGTCTTTCATGCATTTCCACCCATGACATGAATATTGTTATGTTGCCATCCTTGCACAAGCCAGGGATGCCAGGGATGCCAGGGATATAATAAAATGTTCTTGAAAAATTGAGTTATTTTACTTTTATTACGCCAGGATATTTTTTTTCATACCTACCTAACTTTTTAAGACAAAATTCAGGTAAAAAAAATGTGAGAGGCTTTTTTTTTCTTTTTTCTTTAATTGGCCTGCCTCACTTTTGAAATGAGTTTGAAATCCGTAAACCAAGAAATTAAAAAAGTGTCGCCTTAAGGCCCCAGTAAAGTTTTATGGTAGACATATGGAAGACATTTCCACATTTGATGCATTAGTGACCAACATGATGCCGGATGCAGTTCTCTATTTTGACTTGTGCCATATGTTCATTTGACTTGCCTTTGCATGTGTTTGTGATGGTGCCACCAGTGGGGCAGGATGTGCTCACCTTTTTTTGCAAACACCTGGTATCATCACTAATTGATATTGATTTATGAAAACATGCTTACAATATGGTCGGAATCATACAACAGACTTAGCAGAGATTTCTTGAGATTCTGAAAATGGTTTTGTCCGTTTATTTAGTTGGAAATGTCACAAAAATGAGACTAAGGAACTTTGTCATAAAAACTGTCTTTCTATTCTTGGCTTGTGTTTCAGACTGTCAGCTGATGAAGCTGGAGAGACCTAAGCCGAACACATTCATGATCAGAGGTCTACAATGGACAACCGTTGTAGAGCGAATGTTCTGTGTAGAATCTGCTGGTGAAAGGTAAGGAGAACTGGGGGTTTTCCAGTCTTTTTTAAGTGAGTGCATGCATTGCATTGCGTGTGTTCGTGCGCGTGTGCTTGTATCTGTAAATAATCATGTCTGGACCAGACAATCCAGTGATTGATATTATGAGCAATGGTTCATGCTGTCAGGGTACGTTGACATGCATGCTTGTATATGTAAATAATCATGTCTGGACCAGACAATCCAGTGATTGATATTATGAGCAATGGTTCATGCTGTCAGGGTACGTTGACACGCCATTAACCAAGTCACCGAGCCTGACCCCCAGGTCCATAAAGGAAGAAGGTACGGAGATCTGTATTGTGTGTGACACTCTTACACAAGCGGGTGTAGATCCTTGTACCTTAAGCTTGTTGTTAGAGACAGCGAAACTGGGGAATCAGTGGTCATGATGTCAACCCACTTCTGTATAGTTCTTGTATAAGTGACCCCAGATCCATAAACTTGCCTCTTACTACAAGCATAATGCTATGTACCCATTCTAACCCAGAATCCCCAAAGGTTTCCACTTTAGTCACTTCATAAGGCTAGAGACACATTCTGCTCCAGGTCCCCGGGGGAGTGAGTGAGTTTGGTTTTATGCTGCTTTGAACAATATTTCAGTTATATCAGGGCAGCTCACCTAAATGTGGGAGGAAAACCTGATATGATGCAGATCTTAGACATGTACCACTTTGGTGAAACATATGAGCATGGGAATGGTGTTGACAAACCTAAATACCTAATCAAGGCGATTCTGGGATTCAAACCCATGGTCATAGGTTTCGTGCACATCCAAGGTGTGCAACATTACACAGGAAATTGCAGTGCCTGAGCTACACGTGCCCCGTGCCACCGTATTAGAGTAAACTATAGAGGGATTAGATGACCACAATGGCTTCTAATGTGGCTATAACTGGAAAATCAGGTGGTTTCTTTGTCCTGCTCTCTTACTTGACCCTGATGGCATGGATGGTTGCTCATACTATCAACCTTTGGTTTGTTTGTCCTAGAGTTTATTTACAGGCTACCGTGATATAGCTAGAATATTGCTGAATGTGACATAAACATACTTTAACTTACTCAATGATTTCATGTGTGTACTGTTTGTTATGTAACTGTGATATGCTGATGGAGTTCAGCCTAAGTAGGGAAGGATAGATGGGCTCTAGTTTCCATAGTTACAAGGGATGTTGATTGTATGCTGTTGTTTCAGGGAGGAATGGATCCAGGCAATCAAGTCAGTAGCTGAGGATCTGAAGGTCACTGAAGATGGTGCATGCGGACTGCTACCATCACAAAGAAAGAAGGTACGGAGATCTGTGTTGTGTGTGACACCCCTTACACAAGCGGGTGTTGATCCCTTGTACCTTAAGCTTGTTGTTAGAGACAGCGAAACTGGGGAATCAGTGGTCATGATGTCAGCCCACTTCTGTATAGTTCTTGTGTAAGTGACCACCCGTGAAGACAAATTACTTTCATTGGCCTAGCTGATCGAATCAGGCGCCTCTTTGTAAAGCAATTGAGGACTAATTCTGGAAAGCCAAATTATTATCATTGATCGAGTGTGCAGCCTCTTTGGAAAGCAACTGAATTGGGGACTTGGTGGTCAAGATGGCAACCGAATGAGGCTAGTTCTTGTATGGGTTGCCACCCGCGAAGACCAATTTTCATCATTGATTTAGCTGATGGAGTGTTGTGCCTCTTTGGAAAGCAACCTAATTCGGGACTGAGTGGTCAAGATGGCAACTGAATATGGCTAGTTCTTGTGAGGGTGGCCATGAGAGAACCCAAATTATTATCATTGACCTCCCCGATTGAGTGTGGTACCTTCTTGGAAAGCAACCAAATTGGGGACTTGGTGGTCACAATGGCTGCTGTGTATGGGTAGTTCTTGTATGGTGTCCACCTGGGAGGAGCAGCTCTTGTCACTTTGACATTAGGATACAGCTGAAATGTTCCTATTGTTCACCTTGAGGTTTGTCTTGCCATTTAACAAAAATATTTTATATAGCATCCACAGCTGGTACATGTTGTATACGATGTAAGAAAACGTGTAACTATTTGATTTGGTGATTTAATGGACACTGCCCAAGGTGATAGAATGATAGACTCAGTATTTTTTCTTTCTTTCAGTCACTTGATGATTTCCAGTTTCTTAAGGTGCTTGGGAAAGGAACATTTGGAAAAGTCATTTTATGTAAAGAAAAAGCTACAAATCATTTATATGCGATCAAAATCCTCAAGAAAGCAGTAATTATTGCAAAGGTAAGGATCATGTCCACTACTATATTCAGCAAGACATCGCCAAGTACTCATGGCTTCTAATGTGTTGATCTGCTAACTAATTTGTTGGGATTTTCAGTCTGTGTTATTTACTCCTGGCACTGAATCACCCTGTTTACAATGTTAAAGGGGTTGGCAGCTACATTAGAAGCAGTAAATGTCATAACTTTGTTTGTTGTTAAACGCCGCACTCAGCAATATTCCAGCTGTATGACGGCGGTCTGTAAATAATGGAGTCTGGACCAGACAATCCAATGATTGATATCATGAGCATCAATCCACGCAATTGGGATCGATGACATACATCAACCAAGTCAGCGAGCCTGACCACCCTATCCTGTTAGTCGCCTCTTACGACAAGCATAGTTGCCTTTTTCCACAAGTATTGGTTGCTGAAGAACTTCTCTACCCGGATCTTCACGGGTCAAATGTCATAACTGTCTTGTATAGGCACTATATATACACACACATGCGCACGCACACGCACACCATTTAATATGACAAATAACAGTACAAGAATCTAGAATTGTTCCATAAGGACTAGGTTGGCCCATTCTACTTTTATCTGAGGGAGCACAGGTGAACAGTTGTCTAAGGTGCCATTATTTGCTATACAGGGTTATCTCCGTAGGTTTTTTTCAAGGTTTGTCAGCACCATATCAATGCTTGTGGGTTTAACCAAAGTAAACATCTGAGATATGCATCACTTCATGCTTTCTTCCAACATCAACACTCTGTGATATAACTGAAATAGTGTTCCAAGCGGTGTTAAACCATGTGATATAACTGAAATACTGTTCCAAGCGGTGTTAAACCATGTGATATACCTGAAATACTGTTCCAAGTGGTGTTTAACCATGTGATATAACTGAAATATTGTTCCAAGTGGTGTTAAACCATATGATATAACTGAAATACTATTCCAAGCGGTGTTAAACCATGTGATATAACTGAAATACTGTTCCAAGCGGTGTTAAACCATGTGATATAACTGAAATACTGTTCCAAGCGGTGTTAAACCATGTGATATAACTGAAATACTGTTCCAAGCGGTGTTTAACCATGTGATATAACTGAAATACTATTCCAAGCGGTGTTAAACCATGTGATATAACTGAAATACTGTTCCAAGCGGTGTTAAACCATGTGATATAACTGAAATACTGTTCCAAGCGGTGTTTAACCATGTGATATAACTGAAATACTATTCCAAGCGGTGTTAAACCATGTGATATAACTGAAATACTGTTCCAAGCGGTGTTAAACCATGTGATATAACTGAAATACTGTTCCAAGCGGTGTTAAACCATGTGATATAACTGAAATACTGTTCCAAGCGGTGTTAAACCCAACTCACATTAGCTCCTGACTGCTGTTTGTTTTGTCATGTTTTTATCTCGCTGACTCTAAATATATTTTGAAACTGATATTTCAAATAAAAAATATGCTGTAGCCTGGATTTTAACCAATCATGAACTGAGTACTGTGAACCTGTGTTACTCTGACTGGGAGTTGAAGGAGTATTGTTTGTTGTGTATGATTCCTTTAACAACATGTATGTGTTTGGAATAGTTTTCCTCAATGAATTTATCATGTAATACTTATTTGTTTTTCAGGATGAGGTGACCCACACATTAACAGAAAACAGAGTTCTACAAACAACAAAGCATCCTTTTTTGACAGTATGTATTGCCATGACAGTTGCACCACACAGTGTAACCCTGTTAACCCAGAAGTCATTCAAATACTACTCCAATTTCAATGGAGATATTTTTATCTTTCCATGATACACAAATCTGTTCCTCATTGTATGTCAAGTGTATATTTAAATGCAATGACTTGTCTAGTATATGTAGAACTATCAGTGGTTCAATTTCAAGTGGACCGCCTCTGTGCTCTAGTGGTAGTGCGTCTGCCCGGAGAGCGGAGGGTCTGGGGTTTGATCCCCGGCTGTGTCATACCAAAAGACATTAAGAGATGGTACTTGTTGTTACCCTGTCTGGCGCTCGGCATTAAAGGGTTAAAACAAGGACTGGTCGGCTCGGAGTCAGTATACTGTGTCTGAGTGGGGTATTCATGTTAAGCTGCATCATGGTATCTCAGTGTGTTAGCACTATAAATCAGCATCAGTCTGGACTAGTACAAGCAGCCACACACACACACACTCACACACACACACACACACACGCACACGTGCATGCACTTCGCTATATAAATGCAATAATCTTGGACCTTCACTTCTATTCAAGTGGCATCTTAAACAATGTATCATTCATCCGTCAGTTCATTATAAGCATGTTCGTTATCATCGTATTTTACTGTATAGCTACCAGGATTTGCTGGTTGTGGATTTAAGACCCAGAGTCATCCGAATTATGGTCCATGTTTGTCAGCACTATACACTATACACCATGATACACATGCTCTTCACTTTCACCTTTCCTCTCGCAGTAGGCTGACATGCCAACATTGTAGCTGTACTGTTCAAAGAAACCTTACTTGCTCTCTCCTCTCCAACCTAACAGCTAATGAAATTGGGAAAGTTTTGATCCACAGGTAGCCTGTGAACCAATTAGACCATTGTTAAAGAGGCATAGTTGTAACTTGTAGATTGTTGTATAATTTTGTTTTCTATTCCTCACCTGGGGCACGGGTGGCCCAGTCGTCTAAGGCGCCGCAATTCGCTGTGCAGAGTTGCGTCCCTTGGGCACGCCAGAAACCTATGATTGTGGGTTCGAATCCCTATGTTTCTAGGTTTGTCAGCACCATACCAGTGCTCGTGGGTTTCACCGAAGTGGTAAACGTCTGAGACCTGCATCACTTCGGGCTTTCCTACCACATTAAGCTGACACGCCGCGATATAACTGGAATACTGTTAAAAGCGGCGTTAAACCCAACTCACTCACTCACTCTATTCCTCACCAAGGTATCTTGTTTCTCCCACAGGAACTGAAGTATTCATTCCAGACAGCTGACCGCCTGTGTTTTGTGATGGAGTATGTAAATGGCGGAGAACTGTTTTTCCACTTGTCCAGAGATCGTGTCTTCTCGGAAGACCGGACAAGATTTTATGGCGCAGAAATCATATCTGCCCTTGGTTACCTGCATGAAAATAATATTGTATATAGAGATCTTAAGGTGAGAATTAGGAGTGGAGTTGACTACAAATAACTTCCCATACTGTGAAAGATTTTTATTATTTTCATTATAAAGTAATTTTATTTTAAATTTGGACTTGTTTTGATCCACAGGTACTATTAATATTTCTGGACAAGATTCCAAGATAATTGTCGTTATCAATACATTCCAGGGAGAACGAGTCTTTGTGAACATTCTCATGTTATGTATTGACAGGCATTCTGGATGATAAGATGGATTGCCTGATTTTGTTCTTGGATTACTTGATGGAAATTACAACAGAATCAGATGTTATTATCGACAATATCTGTTGAAAACAATAGGACCGCCTCCGTGGTCTTGTGGTAGAGCGTCCGCCCGGAGAGCGGAAGGTCCAGGGTTCGATCCCGGGCCGCGTCATACAAAAAGACGTTAAAAGATTGTACTTGTTGTTACCCTGTCTGGCGCTCGGCATTAAGGGGCTAAAACAAGGACTGGTCGGCTCGGAGTCAGTATACTGTGTCTGAGTGGGGTATTCATGTTAAACTGCGGCATGGTATCTCAGTGAGCTAGCACTATAAATCGGCATCAGTCTGGACTAGTACAAGCAGCCACACACACACACGTACACGTACATGCACGTCGCTATATAAGTGCAATAATCTTGGACGCAACGTTAAACCCAATTTCACCTCACCTGAAAACAATAGGGTTATGTTATTGTGAAACATAATCACAAGTATGATTGAAACTGCCATCTTACAGCATGTTTGATAAACCTTTTGTCTAATATGAACAGTCTGTCTAGTCTACTAAATTGAACTTACATAGTAAGATAAAGACAAATAGACATGACAAACCAAAAAGTAAGCAGTGTGTTCAGTATCATTGTTAGTGGAGAAATGTTTACAAAGGGAACTAGTGCTTCATCACATCATGTCAGGATTATTATTGAATGAATAACATTTCCGTTTTGCCATTCCAGCTGGAGAATTTATTACTGGACAAAGATGGTCACATAAAGATAGCTGACTTTGGTCTGTGTAAGGAAGAGATGCACTTTGGCGCTAGTACCAGCACATTCTGTGGGACACCAGAGTACCTTGCTCCTGAGGTCAGCACTCTCATACACTATCACTTCACATTGTCTGAGGATTCATTGTCTGTCCGTTCATGGATGAAACAATGCTGATGTGATGCTATGTTTCAGCTCACTCACTCCTCTGCTTCAGTGTTATCTGCGGAGAAGCTGATATATTTGTGATAGGAACATTTGTATCCTTAAATCTGCCTTTAGATTCAGTCAGATTTTCTTTCACTTGAATTAAGGGTTTATGTGAGCTTGTAACATGCAGAATATCTAGTGTTTGTCTGCACAATCCTTTAAAATTTTATATAACATCTCGAAAGCAAGACCTAAATGTTTAAACTTTTGTGTAGATGATCCCAGCAGTGGTGTCTCTGAAAGTGTAGACAAAAGTACAGTCAGATGTATTCATGGCTTTGGCTTACCTGTGGGTTTCACCGAAGTGGTAAACGTCTGAGACCTGCTAACTTCAGGCTTTCCTCCCACATTGTGCTGACACGGGCATATATATGTGTTCTTGTTGTGGTTATCAACTTTGGAGGTGCACAGTCGGACAGTTATCTAAGGAACCACAATTTGATATGCGGAGTTGTGTCCCTTACTTGTGCCAGAATCTGATGACACCTCGATTTGCCTTGTTTATAATACTGGTTTCTCCACACCATACATGTGCTTGTGGGTTTCACTTTAGTGGTAAACATCTATGAGAGGCATCACTTTAGGCTTCATCTCACAAAAGCTGACACACGCCGTGACAAACTGCAATACTGTTCAAAGCGGCATTAATTCCTTCTGACTCACCCACAAAACAGATGAGAGGAATATATAGAGGTTATATTGATGACTATGCTGTATACCATCATTAGCTCCCATCCTTCTCCAGGTTTTAGAAGACAATGACTATGGGAGAGCAGTGGACTGGTGGGGGACGGGAGTGGTAATGTACGAGATGATGTGTGGTCGACTGCCGTTCTACAACCGCGACCACGATGTACTGTTTGAACTCATCCTGCTTCAGTCAGTCAAATTTCCCCGGACATTGTCCGAGGATGCCAAGAGTCTACTCACAGGCCTACTGGCCAAAAATCCCAAAGACAGGTCAGTGGAAGTGTGCTGGGTATTTGTTGACATAATAATAATAAATAAATATTAATATGGCTTCTTATTTAGTGCTAACCTTCACACTTAGGTGCTCAAAGCGCTAACAAAAGTCAATATATAAGTCAATGGAACAGGTATGTCTTTAGTATGCTTAGGATACAGGGGCCTGATCCACTAAGTGTTCGTAGCACTACATATATTTGTTGCCAAAATATGGTTATAAAAGCTTCAAAAACTTTGTGGTTTAGGACCCAGCACTGTACATGGGTTATCTTGTGTCCCTTGTCTGCACTAGTGTAAGCAGGTATTTAAAGAACAAGGCATAAGGTCTAGTGAACTCTCATATACAGACAGCCTTTACAATATTTCACTTGCCATTCCAGTGTTCAATATGAAGTATTAAAGTCCAGGTTTTCTTGTCATTACCCTAATGCTAAAAGTAAAACATTTAGCGCGTCCATAGCTTCAGATACTATTCCAGCAAACTGCAAAGACCACACGACCCCTCTCAATTTCGAAGGTAGCAAAACACATTTGTCTACTGCTTTTATTATGTCTTGAAATGTTTTTGTGAAGTAAAGAATTTAAACATTTGAATATGCAAATTGTCTAGTAGTTTTACGGAAAGAATAAGCTCAGCAGTAATGTGCCAATGTGCCACTATGCTATAATGGCTGTGCAATGTGTGTTTACCTGTCTGGGAAATATTTATTTGTTGTTGACTTCTGTGAAATTACATTTTCCAAATAGAAATGCATAAATAACAAAATTATGTATCATTGGAGAAATCTTAAAGCAGATTCATTAACGTTCAGGATGCTCTGTGCGCAAGATACGTTTGACATGCACGTATTTCTTAAACCGAAAGTATGATCTCCAAAGATAATACGAGTACATTATCCAGTAATTGATAGTATGAGTAACATTCATGCCATCGCCGTATGATAATAAGCAATGAACCAAGACACTAACATCTTCTTGAGGCAAGGGAGTTAAATGACTGTGAAAGTTCAGTTGCTGAACTAGGCAGGAATTTCATGGTTTAATCGTAGCGCCACCAGTGGCAATTGCAAGTTATGTCCCTTCTATGTCTCTCCTATTGCCCAATCAGATTCCACCTCTCATATCACTTGCATTTGCTTCAAACAACATGGTGGTGCCCAATTATGACAATCTGATCGATAACCAATTATTATTCATAGACTTATTAGTCCAGCAAATGTAAACTCCATAATTCCAGCCTAGTTCGGAAAGGGACGAAACTGGACTTTTATGGTCAGGTAGCTCCCTTGCCCCAGGAAGATGAGTCACTAAGCTTGACCTCCGAATCCATTAAGTCGCTAAACATAGGATGCTGGAGAATAGTTCTAACCTGGCATCCCCACTGGGGATGCACACACATGCACATGCACATGCACATGCACATGTACATGCACACGCACGCACACAAACACACACATTATTGAGTTAACATTAGGTGTCACATGAAGTAATTTATTTTTTATCCCAATAGACTTGGTGGCAGCGAAGCTGATGTTAGAGAAATAATGTCTCATCCCTTCTTCCTGCCAATCAACTGGGCGGATCTGGCAGAGAAAAAGGTAAATCACTTTAGCCATTATTCACCTTTGTGTATTTTTGTACTTTTTTATATTTTTAGTGAACTCACAGTTTGTGATTTGTGTTTATGGAACAATTTCATCTCTTTGGATGTAAGGCTTAGGGAACCGTCCTATAGAGCAATACTTTCTAACTGGAACTGCAGTTTACTAAACTTAGAAGCAGGTGGAGAACTGTTAAACATTAATGCTGACTTTTCTTAGTAGCCAGTCAAACAAAGCTGTCACTGTACATGCTTTTTTTGGTTGTACATTCAGGAAGAATGATTGGCTTTGTAAGCTTTGTATCGGTACTGTCGAGTACTGTTCATGCAACATGTAGTTTTAGTATTATTAATTACTTAGCATATGTTTAATATGTGAAATTAGATTTTTTTGTCGAAGAAACATGTACTTCGTATTTGACAATCAAGTCCCTTACAAATGTTTTTTGGTATTTTAATCCTAATTTTTAATTAAAACTGGAAGTGGATAATTATTTATATCATTTGTAGATACATGTATACGTATAAGATGTATTTTGTAAATATTTCATTTTATATAATTTTAATTTATGTAAAAGTATCTCTTTTCTCTGGTGTCGGATTATCTCCACTGTAGATGCTTTCATCACATTTGTGTTTGTTAATTTATAATGTGACACTTTCACACCACCACAAACATGGGGAGGTAATTCACCACATTTACTTCACCAGACCACAAACAAGTTAAACATACAGATTTTTGTATTGTTGTAATGATGAAGCTTTGAATTTACTGATGAATATGAATGAATTACCAATCTCTAAGTTGTCCATTGTGTACCAGGGTGAGAGGCAATGACTAAGATTATGTATGTAAATTGCCATGCTTGCATGTATGTCCTCTGTACCAGACCTTACTAATGCCACCGTGTTGTGATGTAACCATGGTAATGGACAACATATTGAATGACTAAATGCATACACTGTGATTAGACTACCTGATTTCAATTGTAGTACCTGATTTCAAATGCTAAAGGAGATTTTTGGAAAAAGATGAGATGACAATTTGGTGATAGGAGACTACTTGTTAGGTAATACTGGTACTGTATCATGGAGTATTGGTAGTGTTTGTGACAAGGGTTCAGAATCTTTGGAGATCATGAGGACCGAGGTTATGTTGTACCCTTCACTACTTTATGACAGTTTACACATATAAACATGGTCGATCTGGTCATCTCTCTATAGACCAGTACTGACTCACTGTGTCGTTACTTCTAATAGTTTGTGTCAGAGTTTCCATTTTGTGTCATCATTCATATCACATGTTCTTCATAAAACTAAATCTCATTAGCATAAAATGCAGGGAATTTTTACTTAATTCATTCCAGTGTTAAAATACTGGATAATCAGGGCTTGGAGACTACGGGAATAAGTGATGTTACTGTTTGGCTAATCTCATTCCAGTGTTAAAATACTGGAAAATCAGGGCTTGGAGACTAGGGGAATAAGTCATGTTACTATGTAGGTGGTCTCATGCTAGCTTAAAATACTGTATAACCAGGGGTCCAAGACAAGAGGAATAGGTTATGTTACTTCATTGCTTATCTCATTCATGTGTTGTCCTAGAGGCCAGCTGACTGCGCGTAGCTGCTTTCTTCTGTCTGTGCTTCTGCTTTGTCTACTTTATTTGCCTAATTTTGGCATGCTATCTATCACTCCCTCAGGTGACTCCGCCTTTCAAGCCTCAGGTGACATCCGAGACCGACACGCGCTACTTTGATGAAACATTTACTGTGGAATCGGTGGAGCTCACGCCCCCTGGTGGCCACCGCTTGGAGACGGTGACCGAGGAAATGGAGACAATGCCATATTTTGAGCAGTTTTCCTACCATGGCAGTCGCGGTAGCCTCGCCAGCAGTCGCATGAGCTTTGAGACGACCTGGACGACATAATCCTCACTTAAGATTGACCAGCGTTAACAATATAGGTCGGTAGCTGGTGGCCTTGCGTTATTCTCACATTCAGAGGCGTCAGGGAGAGGATACATGCCTCTTTCAATTTTTTTCTGTTATTTTTAAATTTTAATTTTAATTACTTTTTTTTTCGCTTTCCTGTCTGTTCTAAACATGGGTTTTGTTTTATGGTGCTACAGTTTGCTTAATTTTGCTTCGTTAACATTGATTTTTGATACGGTTGGTTTGTTTCTGTTAACTTTCTATTGACGTTTTAGATGGCACTGCATTTTAATTTTGGATGTGACACTTTATTTCTTTATTTCAGGATTTCTTGAGTTTAATAACACTGATACTTCATGCAAGAAAGATAGCACTAAATACCACCAAAAACCACATGCATGGTTAAGGATGTAGCCATAGCACCCCTCAGTAGCACATCCACTGAATGTCATGGCCAAACAGCACTAACTGTTGTCTTACACCTATAGTAATTTTCTTTGTTGGCATCACAGTAGAATGTAGTTGACAAACATTCGAATGTTAGATAGATTTGAGGAGAGTAACAGGGTATGATTGGCCCTGTTGTTTAGGGGTTGCAATTTGCTGTGCAGAGTTGCATCCCTTGGCTTGCCAGGATCATATGATCATGAGTTCAGGTCCCAGATTTACCCTCAAAAGGATCCTTGGTTTGATAAACCCATCTCTGTTTTAGCAGATGTGGTAAGTGTCTAGAACCTAAGTGTGGGCTTTACTCCCATATTAAGCTGGCATACATTGATAAAACTGTTCAAAGTGGTGTAAGGGGGTGGCTGGGTAGCCTACTGGTTAAAGCGTTCGCTTGTCACGCCAAAGACCCGAATCCTAACATGGGTACAATGTCCATATCTGGAGTCCCTCGCTGTGATATTGCTGGAATATTGCTAAAAGTGGCGTAAAAGTCATACTCACTTGTTAAACCCAACTCACTCACTCACTGAAGTAGCTAACAGGTTTGAGGCTGTTTCCCTTTTCATTACTGTCTTGTGTCAAGATTTATTCCACACATTCATTTTTGTCACATGCTGAAGTTGTCCCACCTGCACAGAAGACTATTTTAAATGTTATACATTTACTTAGACTTTTATGGGGGGATTAGTGACGACAGTGACATTTTCTTCCTGGATCTTCATCTGTTAAATGTTACTCTCAAAAGTAATAAGGGCAGTGGGGTAGCCTAGTGGTTAAAGTGTTTGCTCATGCTGCCAAAGGCCCAGGTTCAATTCCCTCATGGATACAATGCCCATTTCTGGTGTGTCCTGCCGTGATATTGCTGGAATATTGCTAAAAGCGGTAAAACCGTACACTCACACTGAAATGTGATATTTGTCACCTCAGTTTGAGTAATGGTTCCACTAACTTGGAGTGAGTGAGTGAGTTGGGTTAAAGGGTGCTTTGAACCATATTTTGGTAATGTCTCAGGGTGTCAACTCACTATGGGAGAAGAGACACAAACATTGAAACCCATAAGATTGGGTATGATACTGACAAACCATGGATCATAATCTGGGAAAATCTGGGAATGAAACTGACAATCAGCATCACTTTTAGAACAGACTTCTCACCAGATTGATAAGGAGGGGCAGTTTGTCTAACACCAATATAGTACTGTAAATTACTGCTATTCAGTGTAGAATATTCAGGTAGTTTGAGGTGCGGTTATGGCTCAGTCCAAGTAATTGAGGGTTTTTTCTGCTTGAAATAAGACAGGTCACAAGCTTTAATACATTTTGATACAATTTTTTAGTCAGTGGGCATTAAATATTAAAATGTTCTTCCATTGTGTTCAGTTTATAATTGCAAATAGCAGTATGTTCCTGTGTGTTAAAGTGTGGAATTTCTATCAAATATAGCCTTTAGATAACTATATATACTGCTTGAAAGAAGTCAAAGAACACCAGTCTTTCATATTACTATCGTTAATCTGTTCTACAAGATAGAATAATGATGATAATATGAATGAATCGGTGCACTTTAACTTCTTTTGTGTAGTATATAAGGTTTTGTGATCATAAGCATTTCTAAACTGGAAATGGTGATTTTAAGGTTTTGAATGAGGAAGTAATTCTTAGGACAACAAAGGAGTGATTCACCTGTATTTTGTATGACACATTTCCATGTAGTATAGAGCATTGTTACTGCTTGGTCAGTGTCCTGCACTCACAGCTTCATATGAACCTTCACCCGAATAATTCCTGCCTTTGTTTAGCTAGAACCTTGAAATACATTGATATGCCAAATTTCATCCCTTCTGCATGTTTCTTCTCAGATTTGTCCCCCTTGGAAACCGGATGTGAAAAGTGCATGGGATACCAAGTACATCCCGGAAGAATTTGCTCAGGAGCCCATGAGCACGTCCCCCAGTGAGCATGGAGGCAGTCACTTAGAGAGTATTACAGAGGATAATGAGCTCCCGTACTTCGAGCAGTTTTCCTACCACGGAAGCAGGAACAGTTTTGGAAATTACCTCAGTGCCTCTGCCCAAGCTACAAACGAACACTTTTAATGTCCACAGCTAGTTGTTACCATATTGCTGGCACTCAGAAGTGGCTCCATTTTAGGTTGAAATGACATTCAAATTTATCATGATTCTGTTGAATAATGTCACACTTTTGTATTATTTAGAGAGAGAGTTGATTTTTACTTTCAAACCCAAGAATTGTATTTGCAGAATAGAATTAATTGACTTTTTTTTAAAGTAAACGTTTATTAAACATGTTTCAAAATTGTGAAAATTATAAAGAGTAATCATCTTATTATTTTACGTAGTCTTGCTGAATTTCACCCAAAATGGAACTACTTCATGACATTGCGGCTAGTTGTTATCATTGGTATGACTTTAATGCTATTGTCATCTGTATCTTTTGTTTTGTGTCTTACTGTATACATGTCAGTTGCATTACTGTTATATCATTGCAGTTAAAGATCCTGATGGAGGATATAAGTTAATAATGATTACCATATGATAACAATGTTACTGTAACAATTGAAAGTTTAGAATCGTGTCAGGTAAATGGAGATAATTTGCGAATGTTTGTCAGGTGGGATCGTGATGATTGTGTAAATATGAAATCAAGGGTAACTGATATTTTCTTGTGTTCTGATCAACATTTCCAGTGGACTTCCATGACTGACTGCTAGAAAGTTGCAAGGCAGTACGCTTGAGTTAACATTGTGGTGTTTTGGGCTTGCAAACTCAGGAATGTGGCTGTTGATTGAGTTAAGCCCCTTGTTAAACCCTTCTAGTTCTTGTGTCACTAAGCAGTCGTTCATTGGTGTGCTTGTTTTTCCTGGTAGAAGAGGGAGTGAGGCAGATGTCCAGAATTGACCATATAGGATGAAATTAGAAAGCTATTTTTGATATATGTGGTAAACAGAAGTAGCTGTAGGTGATTGCTGTTTAGACTATATATGTAACATAATTGATGTGTACCTTCCTGCTACAAAGTTACTCAGAAACAAGCACATCCAACACACTTTGCAATCCTTTACAATTTCCCTCTGTGGATATTGCAGTAAGAGTAAGAGTGTGTTCTGTGATGCTTCTGATGTCACAGTACGATTCAAAGGTATACATATGTATGGTGACCAAACCTGATTTATTATGGTACTTCTTCTGGTAACGACATAGGGTTGTCTTGCACACAAAAATATATTGTGCAGAGTTACATCCCTTAGTTATGCCAGGCTTTGATGATCAATTGTTCAGATTCGCCCTGATCATGATCCTTGGTTTTTCAGCATTATACCCACAGGTAATGATTCATCTGTGTTTCTGTATGAAATTAGGTATCAGGAAAACAAATTGACACTTGTATCATACCTCCAAACCGGTGCAGACATGCATGTGTCACAAATGAACATTTTAACATGAGATTTTTCTCACTCCTTAAAGTGTTAATTTCAATCCCAAATTGATCCTTGAAGTGTGAGGACTTGACTCATGGGTTTAGCGGAGAGGTGCAGGGGCCATGGATGGCCAACTGGTCTAAGGCACTGCAATTCACTGTGCAAAGTTGCATCCCTCAGTTGTGCCAGGATCCTATGGTTGTGGGTTCAAATCCCCGATTTGCCCTGATTACAATCCTAGTTGTCAGCACCCTACCTCATGGATTTCACCAAAGGGGTCATCATCTGTGACCTGCATCATTATTTTGGTGTTCTCCTAAAATCAAGCTGAACCACGTTCATTTTTCAGAAATCTGAACCCAGAAGTGAAAAACATCTACAGGATATGATTTGCATTTTTCCTCCCTTCATGATAAGAGAGCCAAGAGGATGGACTTTGTTGTCATGGTGTAAGATTTGGACTGATCGCTTGACTTGACTTTGACTGTTCCGACATGCTGACATCATACCTAGGGACTATTACAGGAGTTATTTCCCTTGCTCTTATACCTCTGAAGACACTGTGTTTGAATGAAGAGAATTAGTGATGAAACAAGATGATGTTTTAGTAGTGTATAATGAATTTTATCGACTATTATGTACTATATCACCTAGATTTGATATTCATCATTGTTGACTTATAAACTATGGGTCTTTTGATATGTAATTCATTGTGCCAATTTTGCTTATTATTGTTATCCTTCTTGTTAATTATTACTCAGTCTGGTTCTTTTGGTTAAGTAGCAGTCAGTTTTATTTATAGTGATCATGAAACAGACTGACTTTTATGACTGTAAAATCTTTAAACACTTTTCTTTGACATTTAGTGGGTTCGAATCCCGGTTCGCCCCGATTATGTTTCTAGGTTTGTCAGCACCATGCCCGTGCTCGTGGGTTTCACCGAAGTGGTAAATGTCTGAGACCTGCATCACTTCGGGCTTTCCTTCCACATTAAGCTGACGCGCCATGATATAACTGAAATAATGTTAAAAGCGGCGTTAAACCAAACTCACTCACTCACTCACTCTTTTACATTTAATGTTTTCTAACACTTGATTCTTGATGTGTACAAAAGGGCCCCGGTGGCCTGTGGCGCCACGTCTTGATGTGTCTCTTTAGTGTGCCAGGATTCTCCAATAATGGGTTTGATTTTAGATCTTTGTGTTCCTCGGTTATGATGCCTGGTCTGTCAGCATCATACCTGTTTTCGGGACTTTCACCGAAGTGGCGCATCACGGGGCGTGGGTGGCCCAGTTGTCAAAGGCGCCGCAATTTGCTGTGCAGAATTGCGTCTCTTCAGCATACCAGAAACCTTCTATCCCAGATTTAGCTGACTTGACTGAAATACTGTTTATGACGGTGATATCATTCTCACTCAATCCATGAGTATATGGATTAATTGTATTGTGCAAATACAAAATCACTTTTACAAAGATTAAGGTTTTAGTCATGGCTACATGAGGCTATTTGTGATTCCCCAAGAGTTAAATAGCCATTGTAAAAGGATAGACCCAATATGGAGGTGCAATATGTTTTAACAAGGTGTTTGATGAAGACTTAAAGAGCTCCTCTAGCAGGGAGTGACGCTTATTCCTTTTACATGTCTTGTTATATGCTTAAGTTAGCTCAAATCAACAAGTGGATATCTAGAGATTATTCAGGTGTAGATATATATATATATATGCTAATAGTGTGAATTGGTTAGGTTTATATTATTTGATATGTTTCTTTCATAGTCTACCTCCACATGTGAAATAATTTGTCTTGTAAATAAAATAGTTTATTACAGCGAGTGGACTTAGTTACAAAGAAATATTGTTGCACTCCTAGTTACCGAACTGGGTTTGGTAATGTCCAAGAATCTCTCCAGGATCAATTGCAAACATGATGCCCTTTGCTGAGATAACATACTTCTCAAAGTCAGGGCCATTCCATCTTTATTAGCTTAGGGGTATGCATAGGTGGCCCAGTTATCTAAGGCACCACAATTTGTAATGCACAGATGTGTGCCAGAAACCCATGATCATGGGTTTGAATCCCTGATTATGTTTCTAGGTTTGTCAGCACCATACCCATGCTCATGGGTTTCACCAAAGTGGTAAACGTCTAAGACCTGCATCACTTCAGGTATTCCTCCCAGATCAAGCTGACAAATCGTGATATAACTGAAAAATTATATTTCAACAAAACATTCACTGAAGTATATGTGGACAATCAAAACTAAGATCGCTTAATATGACGAGGTCCTCTTTTGTTTTTACTCAACTATGGGAAGATTGTGTGATGGGGAAAACATAAGGGTATCTACACATGAAAAGATGAGTAATGACTAAACAAGCATTAATTGGGTGGTGTGCAGTGCCTTCAGGTTCATCCATCTGGTGTATTATTTGGAGTCATAAGGAGATCCGAAATTAGGTTGTTTTTGTGGTGAACTCCAATGAATTCTTCATAAAAAATTCCAGCACATCAGCCTAGTGATAAAGTGTACCTTTTACTGTTGGGAGATTTTTATGGATAGTTACTAACCAAGTTGGACTCACTGAGCAGAACTGAAGATGACTTTGAATCTAAGAGCCAACTGACATGTTGACTGGTAAATTTGAACTTATTACATTTGCATTTCCATGGAAACAAGTGAAACATAGAATCATTACTTTTGTTGTTTCCATGGAAACAAGTGAAATTTAGGACAATTACTTTTGACATTTACCATGGAACCAAGTGAAAATAGAATAAATACTTTCCATGGAAACAAGTGAAAATTAGAATAATTACCTTCCATGGAAACAAGTGAAAATTAGAATAATTACCTTCCATGGAAACAAGTGAAAATTAGAATAATTACCTTCCATGGAAACAAGTGAAAATTAGAATAATTACTTATGTCATTTCCATGGACACATGTGGAGTCACTTGAAGGTTGAGTCTGAACTTGAGCTAAACCATTCGATATTTCTTCTTGCCATATTACATGGAGCTCAGTGTTTGTCATCTTAAGATTTTGTTTGTTCTACTTTGAAAAAAAATGCAGACTACAGGAAGAATCAAATACAATGTTGGTCATTGAACTGTTGGGGTCTGACAACCAAGAGTAGTGATTTTAGCCTTGTGCATGTGTCCAGATGTAATGCATCATCACGATAGAGGCTGTAGATATGTTGTCATAGTTATGTGATCATTTAGTTAATGCTTGTTATTTTGAGATCACTTTTCACCAGAGGTTTGAGGTATTTCCATCATTATTTGTTGACAGAGTGTGATAATTGTAGCAATATACATGATTCCTTGCATTAACAGGATTCTGGTAGTGGTGTAGTGAGACAAGGATTCAGTTGGCGATGCGATACATGGGTTAACAAGGGCATTATCGTGATACAAAGTCATTTTTGTGAAGTTTAAAAGACCATGTGCAGTACACTGTGAATATTTGAAAATAGTAAAATTTGATGTATTGCAATGCGTAACGTATCGCACTCTTGTACCGCATCGCAGCCCACACGTATCTTACACATCTTCTACGTTGTGATCCTATCACCTGTCACGGAAGCATTATCTTATCTTATCGCCCAATGGAATCTGTTTTGTCGGATAATCGAGACTGGCTAGTCTCTGGCTTTTGCGTTTTTTATTTTATAGCAATAAGATCTTTCCGTCACGTCACATCTCGTTATCTCTCACTGACAGAGCACCACACAACGTCCTGTTATCACAAAATACAAGGTTTGGGTTCAAATATTTGAAGCTGGCTCCTAGATTGTTGATGATTTTGTTGATAAGACTTCATTGCAACAGATGATAACATATGTTACTTGTGGGTATCACCAGATGCAGCGGTACAACGTTCTTTCTTGAATGGTTTATTTGGTTAGAATAGGTCTTCAGCCCATGCTTGTCGTAAGAGGTGACTAACAGGATCGGGTGGTCAGGCTCACTGACCTGGTTGACGCATGTCATTGTATCCCAATTGCGTGGATTGATGCTCATGATGTCAATCACTTGGTTTTCTGATCAAGACTCCATTATTTACAGACCGTTGTCATATCGCTGGAATATTGCTGAGTGCGGCTTTAAACGACAAACAAACAATATTTGAGGGAAATCCTTCCTTTATGAAAACATTTTAGACTCAGTGAGGGAGACTATGATGGAATGTTTGTTCAGACTCTTTGCTGAAAATTCCGCAAGATTCTGAGACAATAAGTGATTGTGATTTGAGTATTGTAGAATGAATGTGTCTCTTTTATCAATCTCCAATCGAAGCTGAGGCCAGTGTTACTTCCTGAGTAAGTTGTGTTATACCTCTATTGTGGTACTCTGGGGGATGTACTTCACTAGATCTGTTTCGGCCTCGTCCCGCTTCTGGCTCCAGAATGGAAGGGGCCAGTATTGTGTTCTGCTACAAGGGCAAGCTTTGGCATAATTAGGTGCATTTCCTTGAGCATCACTTGATATTTATTGATTTATTCAGGGATAGAATTTAATTATAGCATGTCAGCCTCTCTGCCTAATAGTAATGTGAACGTCAGCCTATCTGGCCAATGATCTTGTGAATACTACCCGACAAATTAGCCTGTGAACACTAGCCTGCCTGACAAAAGGTCTTGTGGACACTAGCCTACCTGTCAAAAGATGCTGTGAACACTACCTGATTGACTAACGATCCTGTGAACACCAGCTGACTAACGACCCTGTGAACACTGTCTACTTGACTAACCATCCTGTAAGCTCTGTCTACCTATTTAACGGTCCTGTTAAATTACATGACAAACAATCCTTGTTTCATCGAAACAGTTAAAATGCATGCATTTTTAAATAAAATGTTCTTATATCTAAACTGCTCACTGGTAGTTGATTGGTGGCAGATAGACTACAATGCTAAGTTCTATCCCTGCTGACTGCACTGTGTTTTCTGTACTTGTTAAAGTCTTGTTAAACCAGGTATTATTAATGTTCACAAGTAAACTATCCAAGCCATGATTCTGTCCTATTATGTAGCCGGTCTTGAATGAAAAGTACCCAAACAATTACGTCTGTTAATGATTTTAATGTATTATTTAATGCATAATTCCCAGTTTGTTTATTTTCATAACTGTTGGGGCTAACTGTATACTGATTGCTAAACAACATGTGTCTCTAAATTGTTGCAGGAAATATTTAGTGCAAATAAAAGTTAAAACGTAAAACCTGTTTTCATGTCCTAGACCAAAGGTATTGGCCTCTCTCACCTTCAGCCTCGGACTAGTGAGGGGCGGTCGGGTAGCCTAGTGCTGAAAGCATTCGCCGAAGACCCAGGTTCGATTCCAGACATGGGTACAATGTGTGAAGCCCATTTCTGGTGTGCCCCTGTGATATTGCTGGAATATTGCTTAAAGCGGCATAAAACTATACTCACTCACTCACTCACTCACTCACTCACTCACTCACTCACTCACTCACTCACTCACTCACTCACTCACTCACTCAAATAAAAAATAATTGGTTTCCAGGCAATGACTGTAATCAGTGATATGACCTTATTTAGTGTGATAAAACTATGCTACCAAATGTTTAATATGTTAGGTCTGAAATAAGGAAATGGACTTGTGAACATGAGTGTGGAATCAGAACCATACCATTTTAGATGTTAGAAACTATTTTTCGTTGTGCTATGACAATGTTGTAAGGTTTGCCTTCAGGAGTGAATTTTTGTCATGAGACAGTTATATGTTGCTGTGAGTGGCCTAGGAGAACGTCCTCTACAGTCCCGCCGAGCATGTAGGTGGAAGAGTCACCTGTTGGCGACAGGTCATGCAACATACCGTATTCGACATAATAAATGCCCCGTACTAATATGCGCCCTCGGAGATATTTGCTAATATATTGGCTAGTGAACAATCCTAATTAACACCCCTTCCGATTGTTCAATGTACACAAGACTTATTTATTCGTGTATAATATGTGTGTTATATGTATCCTTAATTATGGGAAATTAAATTCTGGAAAAATATATCTGTTGTATAAAAACATTTCAGACTGTCATCATAAACCATGAAATTTACAATCTTTCAACTCTGTTGTTTTTAACCAAAATAATTTAATAAGAGCCCCCTTTTTCCAATTTTGACAGCACCCTGGGTGCTTATTATGTCGAATACGGTAATTTCATCCCTCGTCCTTGAGTGGATGCTGTGACGTGCGGGGTGAGAATATGTTGAATGTGGTTCCCCTCGTTTGTTGATACAAGTATATGAGATGAGTCCCATACATCTCCATGTTATCCTGTTTATTTTTGTGCCGATTGTTGTGGATGTTGTTGATCTTGGAATGACATTATGAGGTGAAACATTTAAGTCTGTTTAACTTGATGTCTACATGTATTTTATTCCTTCTTCCAAGTGCTATTTGAGTAATTGTGAGTGTAATATTGTGTGTATCATCTAATTTGTAGAATGATTAGTGTTCTTTCATTAACGTGTAGTTGACTTTCTAATGAAGCATTATTTCATTGGCTAGACCAACATGTGTATTGTATACAAAGTATCAAAATTTGAATCAGAATAATTTCAAATCTGTGTCAGGTTTGTGATCCTTTATCTTTTTTTTTTATTCGATGTCAGATTTTTGTTTAGTAATTTTAGATGAATAA